ACATCATATGCAAGATCATTGTGGACAAAGGAGTCGGGAATATCATGCAAACGAGGACAGATGAAGGACACGACATTCAGGGCTTATGAGGTTGAAGCTTGCCCTGCGCCCGGAATCCAGGCAGGAAAATCGAACCCAGAAGCTGTGTTCTTAAGCAACCTCCACCTGCTCCAAGGCTGAGACAATCACCTGGGCCCTTTTTGCATTTTGCAGCAAAGGCGGTTCAACCGTTGTGCTTCACTCGTAGCACGGGCCGCGCAGCACCAGCTCAAACATGTTTTCGCGGATCCAGGGCTCGTGAGAATTCCACACAGCACTGTCATCCACGGTCATGACTATGGGGACTTTGTAGACCCACACACGATATGCATACATGCCTGTTTGGGATTGACCCAGTGTGTGCACGGAGTTGTTGGACTGCACCAGGGCGCGGTAGTCCAGCACGAACTGCATATCATTCACGTTGTCAAAGAGAATGTACCCGTGAGACTCTTTGTCAAACTCCTTCAGATCAGGGGCCGGTGCACCCTGAACCGTCTGGATGTAAGGGCTGCCCCAGCCATATACATCGCCAAGCGACTTCGCCAGCGTGCTCTTACCAGTTCTGGACCCCCCCCGCAAGACCAGGAACTTGTACCGGAGTTGGTCCGCGCTGTACTGGTCAGCCCAGGGCTGCAGAGCAGCCAAAACTTCAGGTCGGAAAGGTCGCTTCAAAGCCTGGAGCCTTTGCTCCGTGGCGAGCTGCTCGGCCTGGTATTCGCCGAGGCGCTCGTGGAAGCGAACACTCTCCACTTGCTTCAGCCTTCCGACGAAGCCAAGGCGCACTTGACACCTGTTTGCTATAGGATCCAGTCACATTAACACTACGCAAAAGGAAGCCTCACAATTTTGCTCTGCGTCTGTTAGACGATAAGGCCCGAGCGCATAGCGAAGGTAGACATCGTGTGTCAGTTTGTGTTCAGACCACAAAGAATCCAGCCACCAGCCTTTGACTGGATAATCTTTCCAAGGTTCATACCCAGATGTGGCTACCTTCAAAGTCCCGACCTGCAGATGAGGCTGGTTCATAAACAAGGGCCCTGTTTTCCAACCCCTTCCCTGTGTTGGACAGCCCTGCCGATGCCTTGTCCGCAAAGACATAGAAATGACCGTGGTTTTTCATTTCCCTCATCTTCGCCCCCCGACCTGCTGTGGCTTGCGCATTGGGTCGAACGCCGTTGAAAGTGACGGCACGAAGGCCTGTCCAATCAACAGCTTTATTGAACTCCATGAAGACATGCAGGTGGAGGCGGCCCTCAATACCAGATCGTAGAGACGTCTCCATCGTAGCTGTCCAGCGGAAGACGAACTCGAGGGTTTGCAGCCAGGCCACAAAGGGCTCCCACCAGTCTTCAGACAGCTCGGCCGAGTTGTACGTGAAGAGGCACGATGCTGCGCGCAAGCGGTAGCCTGTGTCGGCTGCATCGTCAGAGCCTGAGAGCTTTATGAGCAAACCCTTCTCTTCCAACTCATTTAGCATATATGCTACAACGTGGCTCGCAGGAACTGGCTGCGATGGCTGCTGAGCCTGCACTTGCCCGACAACTGGCAGCGGTGGCACCTCAAATCGGTCGAAACAAGATACCTACACTCCGTCAGTCCTTGCAATCTCTGGCGTGCAGTCTACATGCGCTGTCCGCCTGCGGGAGCGTACCATCGTATGCTGCCACAATGTCACGGAGCTTCTGCTGCTGCTCGGGGGTCTGCAGTCGCGGCTTTACCTTGAGCTTGTGGATGAGTCTTTTTATGGGGCGGACGGAGAGCAAGCCGAACATGCATTGCAAACGAAGCCTAGTAGCCTCGTCGGCCAATGCCTGAAACTCCTGCTGATTGTAATCAGCTCGACCATGATGGTCAGGAGAAGGCTCCACTCCGACCGTCTGCATGAGGGTCCGTAGCTCGCCACATGCGTTCCTCTTGCGCAGCTGCGTCTGCCGCTTCTGTGCGGCAGGCGGCGTGCTTTGCCTGCGTCAAGTGCATATTCGGGAGCAAGTTGTTTTCAGCTCATGTTTTTGATGTGTCTGCTCTCTCCACGACAAACGTTTTTCTTGGGCTGACCTGCGAGGGGGACCCAAATCGGGTTCAGTGAGACTTAGACCCGGTGAGTCATCTTCTGTAAACCCGATTTTGGATCCCACGTAGACGTAGACAAGAGCTGGGACCCACCACGTTCCACACAACCCGATTTGGGTCCCACGTAGAGAAGGGCTGGGACCCACCGCGTCCCACCAAACCCCATGTGGGTCCCACGTGCTGGGACCCGGTGGATCCTGGCTCTTCTCTACGTGAGACCCGAATTGGGGTTTCATGGGACCTGGTGGGTCCCAGCTCTTCTCTACGTGGGACCCGAATCGGGTTTCGCGGGACCTCGTAAATCCCAGCTCTTCTCTACGTGGGACCCGAATCGGGTTTCGTGGAACCTCGTAAATCCCAGCTCTTCTCTACGTGGGACCCAAATCGGGTTTCGTGGGACCTGGTGGGTCCCAGCTCTCCTCTACGTGGGACCCAAATCGGGTTTCGTGGGACCTGGTGGGTCCCAGCCCTCCTCTACGTGGGACCCGAATCGGGTTTCGTGGGACCTGGTGGGACCCCGGTGGGTCCCAGCCCTTCTCTACGTGGGACCCTACACCCCGTTTGGGTTTTACAATGCTAATTAGGGGGAGAGGAGGGCCTGGTGGACCCCCCACTGGCCCCCTAATTAGCATTGTAGTCCGTTTTCCGGGTGGAGCACAAGCTGCGGTAGACTGTGGTGGGATCACGATTAGACTGTGGTGGGATCACGATTGGCGGCAGGAGCGCTCTGG